GCTCTTGACTGTTGGTGTCCTTGACTGTTGGTGCCCCTGCACAGGGCCAAATACCAGAACATGAGTCTGAACATACTGCATGGCTGGCTTATGAGCAGTTTTTTCACCCTGGTGTAAGTCAATAGTCCTCCATCTTTTTAAATAGAGCATTCACACAGGAATGGGTCACATGAGTGGTATCACAGAGGTAGGTTTTCATTTTGACCATTTGTTAGTTAACTCTGCTTAAGGAGTTGAACCATTGTTCAAGAACATAGGGTTGAGTACTCCCAAAGGTGAGAAGCATCGTTAGGAGAATTTACTTGACCTTCCTGGTGTGTTTACTTTGGAGGCTGTATCTTGCCCATCTTAGCATCTGCAGCAAAGTCAGGACAGACATTGACACTCTTGCTGCCATTCTAATGTTTTCTCTATAACAGGAAAACCGTGCTTTCTTCCATTCTCTTTTTTTGTATATCTTCTCAGTTGTTGAGACAGCAGCTGAAGATTCTGATAGTTCTCTGGTTCCTCGTGGCTGATTTCGCAGCACTAACTGTTCTGGGGGTTTGGTTGATACGGGGTTTTTGATCTAATGCTTTGTCAGGCAGTTACCATAGTGTTACCGTGGTTGCTATAGCCTGGCAGGCTGTTCGCTGATGCTGGGAGCTAGAGTCAGCCCTTTCAGCAGCAATCTGAGAGGCAGGGTAATAGGGTACCTTTGACTTGGGTGAAAACAGGACAGTGTTTTCAAACTGAATTTGACCTGTGGTTATTTCCAAGCCACCAAGTCAGCCACTATGGCCAGCCACCCTTTATGTCTTCTAGTGGTTTGAATTGGCATCCTGAGGAAAATGCCAGTGTCATTTTCTCTTATTCTGCTCTTTGTACAGGTATCTTAACTTGCTTCTTGGTATGACTGCCAGTGGTTTCCCAGGCCACTTGAGTTTTCAGGAGCGTTCATGTGGGATCTCTGTAGCCTGGAGTAGAAGTTGCTGCTTGCAACAGCAGTAGTATTTGCAGAAGGAAAGTGCTTTGGAGGAGAAGGTACTGTGAAGAATAGTTCCTGTCCATCCTCATGCCAAAAACTTAGGCATGCTTTAGTGATGTTCCCATGCCCTCAAATTGGCAATGGCATGTAGTTCACGTGTGTGGTGTCTGTGCTGACACACAAGAGTGCACACCAGGAAGAAGTGAATGGCCCTTAGCAGTGTGTGGGCCTGGCATGCTTACTCACTTTCCTTTCCCTAAGAAAGGTGAAAGAGTTTTTAAAACTTTTTTTTACTTTTTAAAAAGTAATTGTACCACAAATTAATTCGTATTTAGCATTTGGTCATTTTTAAAATGTATTCTCAAGAAAATACGTACTTTCCAAGCATGAATGTCCTTCTGATTTCTTGCACCACTGAAAGTGTATTAGTCTTTTCAGTCCACTGAATTTTCGGGATCACTCAAGTTAAAAGTCAATGCAGTTACCCGTGTCAGAAGACATAAAGTTTCATGTCTGTGGTTGGGATCCTTTCTCACTAATTTTCCTGTATGATACTAGCTGAATTTTTTTCAGATTCATATGGCTCAAAAGTATTCAGGTGCTTTCCAAAGGGTAAAAGTTAATTAGGTTAAGAAATGGTCTTTAAAAACTGTCATAGACCCAGTTCTGGCACTGTTATTTACACAGATAAGGGCTGTGTAACAACTGTGGGAGGATCAGCCACAAGCCTCAAACAGATGAAACTCATATACTTAAGTCAAAAAGAACATGGGTTTTGTTTCTTTAAAGTTGGAATTTCTACATTTTATTGCTGTATGATTAAAACACTGGAACAGAATGTCTTATTTCCTTTGTGCTGCCTTTTTATAGCTACAAGTTCCAATCTCAGTATCTTGTACTTTTTATCAGCATTGCACCTACTCAACTGCACCTTGCTTGCCTTCAATGACTGTTGACTGTAGTGGAATTCTGCTCAATAAAGCAGTCCAGGTCTGGATACAGAAGTAGCAATCTTACCTGCTTGAGGTAAATCTTGGTGGTGCCAGATTGTTTTTAAAATCTTTGTGGCTCTTATTACATACACGTACCATATTCAAAGAGCAGGGTATATAGCCCAAATCGTCTAATAAGCAAAACTTCGATTAATTTGGAAGTCAGTGGAAAAACTGGTGGAGTTTCACTCATCCAGGAGACAAAGGAGCCACTACTTGAGATGCTAAGAAACAGATTTGGTTGTCTGTCTACCAAAAATACTTGTCCTCTATGTCATTCCACAGGTCTATACTAAACAAACATAGAGTTGCTCAAAAAGTAGATCACAAAAACAAAGCGGCACTTTTGCTGTGGTAGGGTTTTAACATCTGTATTGTAGCATGTTCAATCTATTGGATTCTTTGCTTTGTGTTTGGGGGGAAAAAAAAAACAAAACCACTTTCTGAAACATTGTAGCAGAGATTTATAGATCTCAGTATTTAAAAGTGGGCTTTTACATCACTTCAGACGCATGCTTAGAAGTATTAACAAATTCTTTAAAATAAATAAACCTCTTGCCCATTGGCTACTTTGGATTAAACAAAACGTTATCCTCTTTTAATCTCAGTCACTTCCCTCATACTTTTGTCCTAGAGTCCAGGAACACACAAAATCCTTACAGCATGTCCTAATCCTTCACACACCTTGGGCTTTGCTAAATCAGGGCAGAATGAGGTTCTGAGACTTGAGCCAGACAGCCCTGTTAAAGTGATGCCAGCTGCAGTACTGTGGCACATTATGGAGAAGGAGATGATACCCGTTTCTAGACCTGGCCGTATCCTACCAAAGCTGCAATTGCTGGTAGGCACAACCTAAAGCTGTGGATTACCATTGAGCAGCTAGTCTGTAGGGCACATCAGGAGAGGTGATAATTCTACATATTCTGTTGGTGCTTTCCCCTTAAAAACTGGCATGTGGACCTACAGTGCATCTCTGCTCTGTCATTACATAAATAGTCAAAGCATGAACCACCCCAACAAGTTACTCAACCAGAAATAGTCCACAGAGTGTGTTTCAGATCATGGGAGTGTGGTGCAGTCTGGGCCATACAGTGACTATGTTTGTGGGGCAGAAGAGAGTTTCGCTCTTGTAACCATAAGGATAATTTCTGATTCTGCAGCACTTTCTGGTTTCATGGTTGGTCAGCTGGAAAAAGTAAAGATCTAAACAGTTGTTCCCAGCTGCAGGTTATGTAAGTGCAGTTCCAGCCATTTCTAAGGGCAAATCAGTGCACTGGTTATTTCAGTCCAGGAGGTGTTGGAGACCTGTTTGGCAGTTCTGTGCATTTGACCACATAGCAAAAGGAATACATGATGCTGCAGACCAGATTCCTCTTTCTGTGTCATTAAAACAATTAGCCACATTTGCAGAATATATAAAAACTGTTGGAAGTTGCCTTGACTATCTTGTCACTCCCTCATGTTTAAGCACTGTGTTCTTTTCTTTGTATTTTAGCTGGGAAAAAATGTAATTTGGGGTTAATATCCCATTCCCTGGAGTTAAAAAATTTATGTCAGCTCTAAAAAACAATAATAGGGTCTGCTTTGGCAGAGTGATGTTAGAGCCTTAGTCATCCCTTATATGCATCAAAGGAGACACTTGCATTAAATCAAGGAGTCGGGTTCTGCAATATCAAAAATGGTCAAAACTCCCTGAAAGGAATGGAAATAGCTATTTTGTCTGCTCATGGGTTAAGTAGGTGAAAATGGTGTGTGTGATGTCAACTCCATACTGTCTTTTCCATCTCTTAGTAACCAGTGTTGTGTTTAAAAACGGGACAAATTTGGAAGCTGAGCTGCAAATGGAAGTTACGGCAGAAACACAGGATACTGCAGAAATGGGATGATGGTGGTTTTTTAAGTGTGTATTTCTAATTTTTCCATGCGTAGTGGGCTAAACCCAGATGGTGCAGTTTACTTTCATTGAATCCAGCTGAATTTGACTGGCTGTCAAAGTCAAGCCTGACTTCATCTTTTTTTCATTGAACTTCAGGGCTACTCGAAGTCCCCAGTCTGAAAGCACCCAGGGCTCAAGTGTGGAGGAGCAGCTCACTTAGGCACAGCAGTGTGATTTCAGGACAGAGTTTAAGCCTCAACTCCATATTCCTTGTTTTTGTGCAGTTGTACTAGATTCATCATGGCTTCTAAGAAACCAGCAATGTCTATAAACAGTACTCTATTTTAAAAGACCACAGACTGGTAATACTTTCCACTGAGTAGTAAAATCCAGAACATAGAATTGATGATAAAGGTGTCAAGGGCTCAAGGAGTTCCTGCTGTGATTTAGTTTTTCCCTCCAAGTACCTCAGCTACCGATGCATATTGCTAATTACATCATAGATTTTCCTATTGATGAACAGAATCTGAATTAGCACGGGAAGCACTGATGTTACCCTTTCACTATTATTGTTGTACAAGAAGCCGTGGCAGATGCTGGCAGTTAGCTACACAAACATTAGTATTAACGATTGGCCATTTGGAATTGGTGACAAACTGCCGGCTGCTGGAATCCTGAGCCTGAAACCAATCAGGAAGTTAATGAGGAGAGAAATTACCACTGCGGCTTCCCCTTAATTATATTCATGGTAGGCAGGAAGGGAGTGTTGGGGGTGGATCTCAACTCGTATAAGGTTAGGAAGGTCAGAGACCCTTTTACTTGGTTTTTGTATCTACTGCAAATTGCAATGTTGCAACCGTTCCTAGCACTGCATTAGTTTTAAATTTCATAATATTTGGCCTCAGCGTTGGGCTGCCCGAGGCAGGGCCTTGGGTCTGCAGGCAGGTAGCTTCCTTGTGGGTGGAGGGAAGCAGCCCTCAGAGCTGAAGCTGTTTTCCTCCCTTCGTTTCTCCTGCTGTTCACCTTGGCGGGAGGAGGTGCCTCAGCATGCACGAGGGAACAAGTCGCCCCTCTTCCCGGAGTGGGGAGATCTGTGTAAGTCTCCTCTGCTCGGGGCCAGGGGTGTCTCAGGCACGGTGTCTTTTTCTCTCCCCCTCTCTCGCAGGGTTTTCGCCGCCCAGCAGCCAGGACTCCGGCCCGGGGTGCCTGTCGAGCAGCAGCGAGAGCGCCAAGGGGGAGCTGGCGTGCGAGCTGCCCGCGGAGCCCGACGAGCTCGCCATGAGCCCCGTGCAGGAGCGCGGCGAGTAGCCGCGGGGCCGGGCGGTACAGCAGCAGCGTTCTGGGTTTGCTTGTTCTCTTTGGGGGTTGCGGGGGACGGGCGGGGGGTGTTCGGTTTCTTCTTCCCAGGTGCGGGGCGGGACGCCAGGTTCCCCGGGGGCCGCCGTGGGGCCTCCCCGCTGCCGCCAGGGCTGGCTGGCGCATCCTGCCGCCGGGACGGCAGCGCGATGCCTCCGCCGCCTGTCTCGGGAGCGGGGGCCGCCGTCGGGGCTGAGGCGGAGAAAGCGTAGCCGAAATGCGGGCGGGGGCTCTAGGTAGCGGGAGTCCTGTGCCGGCCCCTCCCCGTGCAGGGGCCTGTAACTCATCTGTGGGAAACATCATCGTGCTATGTCTTCCTGACGGTTCCGTACAGGCTAACGCTGCTGCTTGGTCTGGGAGTTTTCTTCTCATGTCGCCAAATTAACATATTTTGCATATTACAGTTCAGTGCCTTGCTTTAGATTGCAGTCTAAACTGCAAGTAATAAGTAAGTCCCTTAAGAGTTGCCATGAGTTTTGGCGTTTGTTATTTTATTAAAAATGGGCTATGGTGTTTTTCCTCGTGTTACCAAAGCCAATCTGAAGTGAAACTAGTCTAGAAAAATTCATTGTTCTCTGTAGTTGCAGCTGTACCTGAAATAAAAATGTTATTGATGACTGAATTTTCTTGTGTGTATATTTGGTGAGCTGTATTAAAACAGAAAAAAAAAAGAAATTACTTGTATTTTCTTCGCTCTCTGCTTTGAAAACATCTATTTGATTTCACCCCCATCTGTTGTAATCAATAACCTGACCATCTTGTTTTTTATTAAATGCACTTACTCTTAATTTCATCCACCAGTGGTTTTAGAGAGAATAATGTGGAGTTACCTATATAGGTTTGACATTATAAATCACTTCTTGAGGCTGAATCGTATAGCGGTATCGATTGATCCTGATATATCACAGAAATTTACTGTCACTTCTGTTTTCAATTAAAGATACAATCAGTCAGATAATGACTTAATTGGATTTTACAGAAGATTGAGTTTTATTGCCCAGTGCTTTACGAGTTTAGTTAAGGAAGATCATTTTATCACACTTGTCAGCCTGCTCCCGCGGCACTGTGCCCTTCTGCCGCTGCCAGCACCGTGTCGGCGGCGCGGCAAGGCGGGACCCGGACGGAGGCGGGTGCTCGCTTCCACCCCTGCTCAGTCAGTGCTCAGGCCTTGCTGAAATACAGCTGCTTAATTCCTGGAGAGCGTTTCACGGCTCCCTTCCCCTCTCCCCTTCCCTTCCCCGGGCGCAAGCATCCTGAGGGGTGCAGCGCCTGCCCCGGGCGGTGCTTGCGGCCCGTTCTGGTGCGGAGCGGTGCGGGAGCGCTGTGCTCGGGGCGCCGCCTCGCTGTCCCGGGGGAGCCGCCAGCCTGGCCTGGCCTGGGCGACGCTGGGGTTGCAATGGCCCTCGGAGAAACGCTGCTGGCCACCTGGGCCTGTTTCTGGTTGCCGGCTGAGCGGGGAGCCGCCCTGGGGACAAACTAAGCGGGATTTGCCCCACCGTGGCACACGGGGAGCGGGAGGGGAGGAAAAAGCCTCATATAAACCAATGTGGGACCTGGTTGGTGTCAAGAGCGTTGAGAATAAGTTACGGGGGGAACAAACAGTATTCTTCAGAAGAGTGGGGCTATCCTACCTGGAGCACCAAGTTTTGGAGAGTCATTCACATTCGGCACTCAGTGAACTTCGGTGGTAAAGATCGCCGATGAAGGGCGGCCGAGGAGCTCACGCCCCACCCCACCAAGAGTGGGAAGATGCGGGATGATCTCCTGAGAAAGCCTGGGCCCCCTCCTGTGGGAAGGCAGTGGCTGCAGCTGGGAGCGCCGGCCCCAGGCGGATGCTGGGCTGGGTCGGCTGCCCTGTGGCAGGAGGTGGCCGCGCCGCTGGCGCTTCTCCCTGGCCTGTCCCTGGGTGCGCTATTTGCACGGCCTGGGGCGTTCTGGTTTCTGAGACTCCTCCGAGCAGAGCTGACGGGGTTGTTGCATGGTGCGCGGAGACTTTTCACGGGCTTTTTGGACTTTGGGGCTGTTTGGGGTTTGGTTGGATTTTGTGTGGTTTGTCTGTGGTTTCTTTGTTGCTACTGTTTTATGTTCCTTTTTTGTTGTTTTTATTTTGTTTTTGTTTTGGTTTTTTGTTTGTTTGGAGGTTTTGTGGTTGGAGGGGTTGTTTTGTTTGTTTTTATTTTGCTTTTCCACCGCACTGTAAGTCGCCCTCTTCCCAAGTATCTCTAGCTGGTCAGTAAGCAGTGACCTTTATTAATGCTACTCCTCTCAAAAAGCGCGTTCCTCGCCCCTGGCCAGGCAGATTTGACTGCTAAGTTTGCGTGACCCTGTGCGGAATTCACATTTCACTCGAAATCTTCCATGAAAGTTTCGCCCGCCTCTAGCGTGGCGCCCCACCACGCAGCCCAGCGGAGCTGGCTCCTCTGCTTCCTTACTGTGTGCCCTCACAGACGGCCAGGGACACCCAGAGTCACTCTCAGAGCGGGAGATCATGCCTAATTTATTCCTGTCTTCTCCCTGTAACGCCGGTAATGCCTTAAAGCAGTTCGGGTGAGGCGCACTAATCCTGTCGTTCGCACTCGCTCAAGTGGTCACCAGCATCCCGCGAACGCCCCCTCCCCAAAAGCTTACTTCAGAGCAGTGCAATCACTAGCGAACGGAGTGTTCCCTCCGGCCCGACCCGCTCCTCCGCCCGTAGTACGCGGCTCACGGCGGGGCACCCCGGCGCAGCAGACCCTGGGGCCGCCCGTGTCCGCCCGGCAGAGACGCGGCTCACGGCGGGTTCCAGCGGCTGGGCGGTAGCGCCGAGTCCTCCGGATGGCTCTACATCGAAAAGTCGCGAAATGTCAGCGGATTCCGGCCGGTTTCCAGCCTGTTCTCCGCGCTGCCTGGTCGGCAGGGGCTCTTTGGCCCTTTGGCTGAGCCGGTCTTTTCCGCTAAATGTTATTTGCAGCATATGTTTCGCACATTCATTCTCTTTCTGTCTATTATTCTGAGCGCTAAGTGCTAACACCTCATTGTCACCTTGAAATTTCCTCTGCTATTTTGCAATTAAAAGCTTAATAGCCCTGGAAACGGAGTTCATGTGGCGCAATTTACCATCGCCACTTCGTCTGAAAAGCTTTCTGCTGGGATCCCATTATGTGCTTGAATAAACCTTTTCGGCGAGCAGAAATGGGAACCGGGGTTGTCAGGTGTTGGGTTACAATAGACTTTCAGGCAGGGGACGTTTTGCTAACATAAATGCGAATCTGGCCCAATGGCTAGATGTTGTCAAATACTGGGACATGGAAACCATTCCCATCAAGTATGAGAAAAGGATTACAGTATTATAACAAACGGGTATTTCAGCCTAAACGTCCGATGTGCAGCCAAGCGAGAGAGGGGTCCCCGGTCCTCCGCCAACCTACCGCCGCGCTGGGCACCTCGGCTCGGGATCTGGCAGCCGCCCGGCCGGCTGCGGTGGCGGAGGCGCCCCGCAAGACCCTCTCCAGTTAGTGGGGAAGTAGGGTTTTCCACCACCATCACCACCCCCTAGGCAGTTGCACCCCATTTCTTCGTTTAGATGGAACGGATTTCCAGGTGTAGATGCGAATCATCTTACTTGTAAGTAATTTTGTGGTAATTGAAAGGGTGGTCCACTTCTTTCTTTTTCTCCCCTCGATGGGGACTCCCGAGTGCACAAGAAGCCCCTCAGGGGAGGCCAGTTGCGAGCTGCAGGATTCAGTACATGCACTCCGGCAGCAAAAACATTATATTCTACTAGCACTGACAGAAAATGCACTGTTCCCCGTATCTGATCCGATTCGCCTCCCTGGCTGGGTGCGATATACAGACGGAGTGCTCATCCTCCTCACACCCCGCGCACAGCCCGGGGGAGAGAGATCACGCTGAATCATTCGTCCTCTAGAAGTAGAAAAGTAACAAGGAAAGAGCCTAGTAATGAAATACCACGCAAATACCTTCTTAGCGTACACTGTGCCTTTTATTCTCTCCGGCGAAATACTTCCCGAGTTTTAAATCTGTTTTCGTTACTACATAGCCTCGCTAAAACCTTTATTTCGTGTAGCGGTTATGGTGGAGAGATGCCTGGGAAGAACAGGGGAGGTCTTGAGGCAACGAGATGGGTTCAGGTCCAAGGAGCAGCCCCTGCCCACCCGCGGACGCTATGCCGCCGGCAGATGGACTCTTGCAGTAAATTTGTTTCCCCACAGCCAAAATGCATATAACTTTTCCGTTTTTTTCCAGATTTGGATTCAAGGTTCTCGCTGCCACACGGGAAATACCCGTGTTTCAGCGAGAAACCCCTCTGCGCACGGAAACGCAGAACGTTACAAGTCCTCCGCATCAGACATTATAATTTAGGTTTCAAGCAACCTGACTTGCCGTGAATTTCACGTTCCTTTCTATAGCCACCGTTTGCATTTGGGTAGCTGTCTTGCCGTGGGATGCAGGAAAAGCAGCGGATCCCACGGGGCCAGTGCCTACCGCGGCTCTCCAGCTCTGCGGCGCGATCCCGCGGGGACGCTGCCGCGGCCCGATTCTGCCCGATTGTTGTGGGCAGTTTCTGGTTCCGGATAGCTCCTGCTCCGAGCATCTCTTTGCGGCTGCAAAACTTTGGCAGAACTGACAAAACTTTGATCTCGACTCCCTGCCACTACCTCGCGACGCAGGGCCACAGGCGGTAGCAGCCGTACACCGTGCCGCCGAACCCAGCGGGCTTTCGAGGCGGGGCCGACGCAGAGCCGGGAGAAACCTCCCAGACCTAAACCTCATCTCTCAGCCCCAGGTGGCTTCGGGGCGTGAGTCGTGAGGGGGCAGGGCGTGGGGGGCAACAGCCGGGGTCCCGGTCCGCTCAGGGACGAACCCGTTCGGCACGGCACCAGGCATCGCCGCCGCCCCGACGTCGGGGCAGAGGCCCCCCCGCCGCCGCTTCCCTCCCTTCCTCCCTCCCTCTCTTCCTCTATCTTTCTCTCCCTCCTTTCCCTGTCGGCGCCGGGGAAGGAGGGTGGCGGTGGGGGCGGGCGGGGGGCGGGGGCGGTCTGAGGGGCTCTGGGCTGCGCGGGGCGGTGCGGGCAGCGGCAGTGTCTCTCCGGCCGGCGGCAGCGCTCTGCCCGCCGGTGCCACTGTCAGAGCCTGCGGGCAGAGCCGCCCGCCTCCTCTCCTCCATCGCCCCGGCCTCCGCCCGCCCTCACTGAGGCCTTCTCCACCCCGGAGCCGGCCGGGCTCCTCCCGCGGGCATGAACGGCTATGGCTCCCCGTACCTCTACATGGGCGGCCCGGTGTCGCAGCCACCGCGGGCTCCGCTGCAGCGGACACCGAAGTGCGCCCGGTGCCGCAACCACGGCGTGCTGTCCTGGCTGAAGGGCCACAAGCGCTATTGCCGCTTCAAGGACTGCACCTGCGAGAAGTGCATCCTCATCATCGAGAGGCAGCGGGTGATGGCCGCTCAGGTGGCGCTCCGCCGGCAGCAGGCCAACGAAAGCCTGGAGAGCCTCCTCCCGGACTCCCTGCGCTCCCTCCCCGGGCCGCCGGGCAACGCGGAGCCGCCCGCGCCGCCGCCGGGGCCGTCGCCCTGCGCCGCGCCGCCGCGGACGCCCGCCGAGCTGGCCGCCGCCGCCGCCCTCCGCTGGGCCGCCGAGCCGCCCCCCGCGCTCCCGGGGCCGCTCCCCAAGGCAGGTGAGACCGGGCCGGGCGCCGCGGTAGCGGGGCAGGAGGGAAAGGGAGGGCTGGGATCCCGGCTGTCGGTTCTGGGGGATGGGGCCAGAAGGAGTAAGGGCGAAGTCTTTCCCTTTCACCCGACGGGCTCCGTGGGAAGGGAACGGAGAGGAATTCCGTCGGGTACACTTTATCGCTCTTAAAAAGCATGGAGCCGCAAAGCGACCGGCCCGCTCCCCAGCCAGAATCGCGGCCACCGAGACAAGTTGAGGGGACCCGCGAACGTCGCGGCTGCCAACTGGCTCCCCGACGTGCCGCTGCTGGGCCCATCCCTCAGATCGGCCGGGAGCGGGCCGCATCCCGCGTGTATCACAGCAGCACGTCTTTCTGCTTCTCCCGCTCACGGAGTCGCTGTCCGGCTTCTCGCACCCCGGGCATCGGGCTGCGAGACCTCGCCCAGGACAAGTCCTGCACAGAGAGCCTCGGACCGAAAGCGGCGCCAGGAGCAGGAAGGCTTCTGCGAAGCTATAACGACCGGGGAAAGCGGAGTGGTGCAGGGGATGAGCGGGACAACCCAGTCCTCCTGCGCAGGCCTGTCCCTTCGGGTCGCGGGCGGCTTGTGAGAGGTCGGGGGTGCAATGGGCACCTTGTGAGCGCGACCTGTCTGTAATACACATTTTTGGAGGCAAAACTAGCACTCCGGAACCGCAGTCGCGTTCCGTCCATTGTCTGAGCGGGAGCTGACAGACTTTCACGATAGGACTGCTCGGCAGGCAGGCCGCTGCCAGCCCAGCGCGCTCCGCTGACAAGTTGTGACAGAATTTTAGGCGGTGCCCCGGGACAGAGTGGCGAGCCCTGTGCTGCTGCCGTGCGGGCCCGTGTGCGCTGTGGAGCCGGTCCGGTCACGGAGGCGGCCACCAGGGCCCCAGCACAGGGCTCTGCTCCTCCAGCACCGGCGCGGACACACGCTGGGCCCGAGGCGGCGGCACGGATGACACCGACACTCTGGCGAGGATGCCGGTGGTTTGGGACCCGCTTCCTATTTTTCGGCACCTTGGCACCACCTGCCTGCCCGCCGGCAGCGCTCTCCCCCACATCTCGGCCCAGTTCCGCCGGCCTCTCCCAGGGCCGGGTAAGGGGGTCTTTCCCCAAATTTCCCACTGGTCGTAGCCTCCCGCCGGCGCGGGCTCCCTCCGCTCTCCGCACACGCCGCGGCGCCTGGCCGGGGCCTCCTCCCTGCGTGGAGGTAGCGGGGAATAAGGCCGAGGAGGTTGGGCGAGAAGGGGAAAAGCCCACCTTGCTTCTTCGAGAAAATGAAAGTTCCCATCCGACAGCATGATATAAATCTGTCGGATAGGAACGATATTAACTTGCACGCTTAACTTTCCTTCACCCTGATGTATGAACTTCCCGGTTTAAAAGATTACAGTAATCACGGGAGGAGGGTGTAAATCGAATCTGATAGCAATAACTTTTGGGGAAGGTCAGGCTCAAGTGAAATGTTACCAAGCAACAGGCATTTTGTTTGCAAAATACAATCAAAGTGTATTGATGAGAAATTCTTCCTTGCCAGCCGTCAGCACTTTCTGATAATAGCTTTACAGAGTGAAAAAAAAACCAAACAAACAAACAACAAAACATAACGTAGATCTCCATAAATCAAGGCCCTCGGCGCTGCGCCTGCCCCCATCCCCACCCGCGGTGAGGCCGGGCTGGGGGGCTCAGGATACCCCGGGACAACCGGGGAGCCTTTCTGATCACACAGACCCCACCCGGTGGTGCCCAGTCCCTGATTGTCACAGACGGCTTTTCCCCCCCCATTTTTTATGAACATGAGAATGCATGAGAGCAAAGTGGGAAATGATCTCCTTAGAGGTTCCTACTGTCACCTTCCACCAGAGACTGTTTATTTCACCACACGGCTTGTTTATTTCCAATTATCCTATGTGCTCTGAGCGGCAGGGTTTTCTCCTTCCTCTCCTTCCATTAGCTGTATTAAAATCGACGTAAAAACAGAGGATAGACCTCCTGTCCGCTCGGTTTCTAAAACACACATATAACCCCTTCTTCCTCCAGGACATTATTCTCGTAAGAAGTTTTTTCACTGCCGAAGGGATATTTCCCGATATATGATAAAATCAGATCTGTTTGCTTTTATTCCTGCTACAATCGGCCATTTTGGTGGGACAGTTGCGAAGTTCTGAAAGTACCCTTGTTGCATCTGCCTCTGCTAACCTGGAATGATTCCTTCTCCTGACACGGTGCTCATGAACTTTCCTTGCCCATAGGAGTGTATGTTACATTTGTCTTAGTAATAGTTATCAAAACTTGTAAACAATATAATGCTATATTTGTCGTCTGATATTTTCAGAGCCAGCTTCTTAATGCAGCACAGCTGTCTCTGTGTTAGTTTGAGAACAGTGATCAATCTCCTACAGAGTATTTTGATCTTCAAATATAGGGAAGAAAATATCAAGTGAAAGTAATTAAAACCAAAACCTAAACAAAGCCCCAACAACCAAAATCAAGTTAACAAACACCCCATTCTTCCAAACAGACAGCAAAAGTAAAAAAAATCAAACCCAAAGCAAAAAAAAAAGCCCCCTCTAAAAACATAGCCTTAGCTTTATGTGCAGTTATGCTAGTTTTGGCATCAGCCTTTCCTAATAATACAACTAAGGAAATTATGAGATATAAGAAAATCTGTGTCGAGAAAAGAGCTGTCCTAACAATCAAAGAACAAGATGTTTTATTAGGGACTCAGCAGTGGGAATACTGAAGAAGCAAATTTGGTTCAAAAATATTAGACCAAGTTTTCCAGACAAGTTATTAACTTGAGAACAGCTTTTTCCTCTCATCTATTTTACTTTTATTTGGCCCCTTTACAGCATTGGACTTATGATTATTCAAGTATAGATCGTCAAGAAGAATTGGGGTAAATATTGTGCTGAATTCGTATTGTGTTTTACTGTAAATGCATGTACAGTTCTCCCACTGTTCTGTTTCATGTGTATCTGTATTTGCACTGCATATCTTATCTGGGTTGGTATCTCTCCCCGCATGCCTATTATTTAATGAATACTCCCCATCTTTTATATCAGTAGGAAAATAGTTTCCTTAGTTTTCCCAGGAATCACAAACTGGATACTTAAATGCAGGCAATTTGAAATGGAAAGTGTTGGAGAGGAAAAAAAAACCCAAACACACACACACACACAGACGTGCAACAAAATAACCTCCTCCCCTTAAAAACCAAACCAAAATCCAACCCCAGAGCCACACAAAGAAACAACCCCCAAAAAAACCAAACAAAAACACCCCCAAAACCACAAAAAAAAAACAAACCCTCACCACAAAAAAAAAAAAAAAAAAAAAAAAGGCAAAAAAAAGCAAGCAACCAAACACTGCCACCACCAGAAATTAAAAAAAAAAAAACCTCAGAGCTCACACAGGACAAAATACAAAATATAACACCCAAACTCCCACAAACGTAAAAAATACCTGAGGACGAGATTTCTTTTTTGAAGCCGAGACTGTAATAATGTAAAACTTACGAATTATGAAAAGAAAAATAAAGCTTTGCTGAAGAGCAGTAGCTTGTACATTTTAAATATAAAATTATTTCTGTACCGCCAAATACAAACACTTGCAATTAACGCATGCATATAATATTCCCACAATTCAGTATACACATAGGGACATTTACAATATATCTTCACAATTTTTTGTTTCTTTGACAATGGCTATTTAGCATCTTCACAAATTTTTGTTTACTTTACGATTACTATTTTTGGGCCAATTTTAAACGAACGAAAACCCAGTCGCAGTGGTTCAGGGCTGGGGATGGTCCCCGGAGCACGCCTGATGCTCCCCGAGCCCTCGGGGTAGCGGGAAAGGGGGGAAAGGGGTGTTTTAAAGCGGCTAAAACACAGCCTGACAGAGAGGGAAGCCCCGAGAGCTGGCCAGGTGAGCTGCAGCTGCCGTGCGACAGGCTCGGTCCCCGGGGTGTGACATCCGCACACCGCCCCAGCCCGGGCATGGAGCTGCCTGACGCCGGCAGCCAGAGATGCTCCCAAAAAAGACAGAGGAAAAAATACAGCAGCCTCCATGTTCAGTGGTAGCCAGCAGAGGGTAATTCTCTGTGTGTTAATAGCACCACTTCGATTTAAAATCAACGAAATCTCGTTTTCTGGGTCTGTCCCTGCGAGTACAGTGACTGCATCGCTATGATCCGTGCTGTATGAGGAGACTGCCCCTGCGCAAAAGCTGAGAGCCGGCGTCTGTGCGGTCTCCTGATGATAAAGAGGCAAAATTCAGTGGGACAAGTTTTCAGAATTTGATGAAAATTTTTTAGGCAAGCCTCATAAGGATATTTTTAAGAGTACAGAAAATGAAGCAAATCTGAAGTATCTTGAAAATAACATTTTGTAAGGATAAGGGAATATATTTGAGATACCTTACATGATTTGAGGGCTTTTGTTTGTTTGCTGGTTTTTTTTTGAATAAACACATATTTTCTCCACAGAGGTACTAGCCCTCATTCCATAAAGATACCCTGTAAATGTAAGCATGAGGTAATTCTGAAATATCTTCTCCTTGCTTTCACTCCATTTGGTAATATTAGTTACCGAAGTGCAATCTATTTATGTGAAAATTAGGGCTATCGTCTTCCTTAAAGAGCCTCTCTTAACTCTTGTCAAGATAGGGACAAAGTAGCTGGAGTCCTTAGATTGCCCACTAAGCCTTGAATGTCCATTCATCAAGATTTGTAATAAATACATAGTCAAGGGATTAAAAGGGAAAGGTAGCGTGACTCTCGCGTTTTCTCAATAACGGGTGAGCTATGCCAGTATCTTAGCACCTCCTCAAAAGGATGCACGTGTCAGTTTGCTATCGGCAAGCAATTCCTGCGTTCTGCTTTGGCTGCTAAAGCAAGATTGATACACTTGTATGAGAAAAACAAAAAGTACATGGCCTTCTCATTAATACAAAACATGCAGCGTTATTGCTTCCATGTTTGCACTCGATAGGCAGCACAACCCGTGTAAAAACCATTTCCCAAAATGAGTTATCCTGCTGAAAGTAGTGAGGTCTTCGTAAGAGCATCTGTATTCCTCAGCTGCACACTTATCTTCCACAGCCCAAATTAGCAGCTTCCCAAATCCATGGGAAGGATGGTCCATCGTTTCTGCCAGGTACAGCAATCCTCATGAGGAGAACCTTCCTTTGCCATGCTTCCGCTGTCAGGCTGTGCTCTGCCAGGATCTCTTCTTTATTTATAACTCCCACTGTCCTGAGCATAGTGGCTGCTCACTCAGCTCAGGCTTGCTCAGACCCCGACTTCTTTCTCTCTAGTGGATACATTCCATCAATAGCCTTTTTTTCATGCTGATCTGTTAAGTGTTAAAGTTAGCCCACTGATGAGAAGATGCCCTGCCTGTTCCTGCAGTGAGAGGAAGGTGGGAGATGGTGAGCAGTGAGGCTCAGGTGCTTCACACCTCTAACTGGTTTAGTCTCAGTTGGGCAGGTGGAATCATCAGCACATTTTAGGAACCTTTGCTTTCTTCTTACAGTTACTTTGCTTAGTTGGGATGCTCATCAGGGGCTTGGAAAATGAAGCAAACAGTTGTATTGGTTTTTGCAGATAGTCCTTCCCTTTTGTGCCTTCAAAAGCACTGCCCTGTGTGGTTAAAGTAGACTGTCAGCTGCAGCTTGGACAGCAATCCTCTCCCGGTGCATTGATGCTTCCCAAGAATGTAAGCATTGTGCTCAATGAGGAAAGCCAGCAGAACTGTTTTCTTGGGAAATAACAATCAAAAATCTCAAGCAAGTATATTGATCCTCTTTTGCATAAGCAAGCATCTTTTCTTTTTTCTTACCAACAAGCAGTCTTATTTCAAAGGGTTCCATACTCTGGTCAGGCATTACCAAAGAGTTTTGAGTGTCCATCTGGAGGCATCATGGCCAATGGGTCTGTTTTCAGCTCCATACTCAGCTCTCATCTTTCTTAGTTTGGTACACAGAAAGCAAGATACCTGGAACAATTTCTAAGAGAGGTTATGGGGTCTTCATCCTTGGAATTATTTAAAACTCAGCTAAGCAGGGACATGAGCAAGTTGCTCTTTGTTTAAGGCTGCTCACACTTTGAAGAGGATTTTGGACCAAATGCCTTCCAGATATCTTTTATAATCCAGAATTTTCTAGAACACATGCTTGGATGGGACAAGGCATCAGACATACTTAAGGGTTTAGAGTCAAAGCTGCAATTCTTGCTGTGGGAGGAACTGATTTCTATGGGAGGAACCAGTTTCTTCAGAATTGGAATCCATTTATTCATTTGAAGACTTTTAAAACCTTCAATCCGTAGTCATAATGGAGTGGTTCCACCAATGCTGTTGGAGCTGCAGAGGAATTTTCATCTCCTAAATACCCTCTTCAGCTCACAGACAATGAGATGGTGCTAGTGAGGAATTATTATGTGAAAGTGCTGAAGTTCCTTCGAGAAATCTTGCAGCTGGGTGATGTGTTGCTGCCTTGTGACCAGTGAGAAAGGATAGATACAAAACTTTTGATGCAGCAGAAAAATGATCACAGCTTCTTTGCTTGCACATGAGAGAATGAGTGAGAGTATGTCTAGATCAGGCCACATTATCCTTTTGCAGTTTTATTCTCATGGCATGTTGCAAAGATACCTTAATTTTTTCAGGATCTCTGAGAAAAAGAGAAAAAGAGAAAAAGAGAAAAAGAGAAAAACTTTTCCCCTCTTGGAGTCCTTCTCTGTTCACTTTAATAAAACAGCATCCTCAAGCCTCTGTAAAAGCTTTTGAGCTCAGTTTTCTGTTAATTTCTCTGACTTCTCTTTGCAGACGTGAATGAGGAGCGGTTGGGTGATGCAAGTGGAGCAGACAGTGCCGAGACCTACAGTGACAAAGACACAGACCAAAGGAGTTCCCCAGACATGACTAAAACCAAAAGTTGTTTCAACCCTGAAAGCCCTGAAATTGTTTCAGTGGATGAGGTTGGTTTTGCAGTTCAGAAAAATGGTGGGGGCACAGAGAACCGTCCAGACAGCCCCAAGTACCACCCAGAGCAGAACCACCTCCTGATAGAAGGTCCTTCTGGGACAGTTTCTTTACCATTCAGTTTGAAAGCAAACAGACCCCCACTTGAAGTCTTGAAAAAGATTTTCCCAAACCAAAAGCCAGCTGTGCTAGAGTTGATCCTGAAGGGGTGTGGCGGTGACCTGGTGAGTGCTGTAGAGGTTCTTCTGTCTAGTCGGTCTTCAGTGGCCAGCGGAGAGAGAAGTTCTGCAGAATCGGATGGTCTTGTTTTACCTTCCAATGGGCATATTTTTGAACACACACTGAGTTCCTATCCTATTTCATCTTCCAAGTGGTCGGTGGGCTCAGCATTTAGGGTTCCTGACACTCTGAGGTTCTCTGCTGACTCCAGTAATGTCGTACCAAATCCTCTAGCTGTACCTTTGCAGCACCCTTTCCCTCAGCCGCCACGCTACCCGCTGATGCTGAGGAACACTTTGGCAAGAAACCAGTCCAGCCCATTCCTGCCCAACGATGTCACCCTGTGGAACACCATGACATTGCAGCAGCAATACCAGCTACGGTCCCAGTATGTCAGTCCTTTCTCCAGCAGCTCAGCCACTGTTTTCCGAAGCTCACCTGTCCTTCCTTCCCGCTCATCAGAAGATCCTAGGATTTCAATTCCTGATGATGGATGTCCAATTGTGTCTAAGCAACCAATTTACACAGAAGATGAATATGAGGACAGGTCTGATTCTTCAGACTCAAGAATACTCAACACATCTTCTTAGACTGGCATTTGACATGGGACAGCTAAGCGATACTCACAGTGCAGCTGAACTCCTGGCCTCTAAGAGGAGGGGCATGTACTCTACAAAACTCTCGCAATTGTATTAAAAAGTTGCTTGGTATTGTACTATAGCAATAAAGACATAACTTATTTAATTTCTTGCACTTCACTGGATAATGCCAAATAGCAATACTCTGGCTTTAGTGCTGAGTGTGTGTTGCAAAGGAAGACTTTATGGCTACCAGTTATGGGACTCTAGAAGACTCATAATGGAAACAGAAGCCCAAGGTCTACTTTGTTCCTTAACTCAGAAAAATGGGGATGTTAAACTAGAATACTTGAATGCTGTTTTATAATTGAGAACTCCTCAGGACATAAGAAATCAAGCAAACATAGTTCAATTGCAAATGGACTAAAACAAGGACCTTATGATCTTATGCCAGTGATCATCCTTGCAGTGAAAGAAAAGGCAGAAGAAAGAAATACACACATGCAACTAACATGAGCTGCTTCTGTGCTGGTTGAGCTTGGACACTTTTCAGAGAAATATTATTAAGAGTTATTCTTTTCCCATGGCTAGGTCGAAATGTGTAATGTCAGTGTAAAACCAATTACAGCTGTGAATTGCATGAAGTGTATTGTGAAATGAACACCAGATTAAGCATTGTCAGGTTAATGTAGCATGCTAAGGACTCTAGAAAAATAAACTAAGATGATGATCTTGGTTTATGTCATTTATACTGGGCAAATAACATTCTGAAGACAGAGAGCTGATTAGTTCTCAGCCGGGGTTAAAATGTCCAGCTCCAGCAGCTGCAGTCAGGGGAAACCACTTTTTCCAAGTCTGGGTTTTGCTTCCCTGACTTGTAACTTGCAACTGAGATTAGACAAAAGCTGTCATCAGGGAAGCTGATGTCTCTTGTGTTGGTACTGCAGATATTTCCAAGCTCAGCTGAGTAAAGCAGAGCTTGCTCCAATCACAGAAAGCAAAAAACAAAAGGCTCTCCCAATGCTTCAGAAGCATAGTTTTTCCTATTCTGTAGAAGTAGAAAAAAAAAGGAAATAGGATGTAATTGTGGGCATTTCTTTAAAATAATTTTTAGGCAAATGGCAACTCCCCTTTTCCCCTAGAAAAGTAATGCTTTGAACAGTTTATTGCATGATTGCATGCATTGATTACACTGCATATCTTATGTGTGTCTGAGTAACATTAGGAACTGCTTCTGATGAGGAATGCCTCTAAGCTTAATGTCCACTTAGAAGTTTGTTAAGCTCTTAGTGTCATTTTTTCAATTGTTCACAAGTGACTATGTATGCTTGAGAATTGACTTTTACAAAACACACCTCTGAATGCAGATGAGATGACTCTTCGGTCTTTCAAGTCTGGGCATTAGTCCCACACATCAAAAAAAAAAAAAGGTGAGGCCACCCTGAAGTTGGACTCTGAAGCAGATGGGCTTTAAAACTGTTATATAAGTGTATCAGGCATGTTATCTGGTGTCATTGTTGATACGAATGCCTGTGTTCACATTTGGCATTTCATGTTCTGTAAGTGTTGTGCACATGATGAATCTTTCATTTTATAAAGGTACTGAATACGCACAAAAAGGAGAATAAAATAATGACTTTATTTTCCTTCGGGGATAAATTGACTGAAAGATACTTTATCTTGCATAAATTTCCAGCCTGTTCAGAAAAACATTTTATTGGTTATGCTACAAAGACATTAAAGCAGAGGAAGGGAGGAAAATAAAAATCCCTTATGGAAATGTAAATGTGCAAGCATCTGGAGTTTTCCTAAATGCAGGATTTCAGTTGTGTACTGACGGATTTGCCTGCATTCACATGGCATTTGTAAACAAATTCATCTTACAGCCACCCCAGAGAGAAAAGTAATATGTAAAATAGATCTTGCAGGCAGAAAGGCAGGTGGCAGTGAAACGCTGTGCTCTGACATGTTTCCAAGAAATTGTCAAAGGCTAGGTAAGAGAGGCTAGGCCCTGGAGCTCCAGTTTTGAGCAGATTTCCTTCCTGCGGAAATCTTAGGCATCTCGTAGTTTAAATCTAGTAGGCATCTAGTAGTTTAAATGAAATCTCAGTGGAGGCTTTTAAATTTATTTTACTTGTTGTTTGTGTGCTTGTTTTGCTACAGATGTTGAATCATCTTCAGCAGAAAGACAAAACTGTGATATCTGCAAAAGCTCATACCCTCTATGGTCTGTGGGTTTTCAAAAAACTGAATCTTGGCATCTTGGCACTGGGACATATCTTTCAAAGAAAGATGACCCTTGGCTAACATGGAATGAACTTCTGTCACACTTGTAGTGAAAAATGCGAATTTGGTGGTATGATTTTTAAAATTCTATCTCTTTTGACAAGCCATTTTCTGAAAAAAGAAACAAGTTAAAATAATCCTTGTCTCTCATGTTATAAAATAACTCTTGACTCCATTGACAAATACATTTTCTTAAATAAAGTGATTATATCCCTGTTCAAAATAAGAAACTGAAATTTTTCAATTTGAACAGTAATTTTTGTCTGCCCACACAATATTTTAGTTATCCAGAAGATATTAAAAAAAAAATATATATATATGTTTGCCTGCAATGATACCTTTAAGAAATTGCTTTGTTCATCCAATTGTATTGTCCAGGCTGGCACTACAGGCAGATAAAATTTTTAAGGATCCCTTGGCATATTGTCAGGAATCTTTTTCCGCCCGCGCAGTGCTGGGACCTGTTCCCCAGATCTTTGCTGTGCTGGTGGGGGTTGCCCACGCAATGCCCCGCTCCCAGCTAGGGCAGCTGCGGGGAGGGGGAGACCCGTTTCTGCTGAGCCCCATTTCCACTGAGCCCCACTTCTGTTGAGCCCTGTTTCTGTTGAGCCCCGTTTCTGTTGAGCCCGTTTGTGTTGAGCCCCGTTTCTGCTGAGCTCTGCTTCTGATGAGCCCTGTTTCCACTGAGTCCCGTTTGTGTTGAGCCTCGTTTCTGCTGAGCTCTGCTTCTGATGAGCCCCGTTTCTGCTGAGCCCCGTTTCTGCTGAGCCCCGTTTCTGCTGAGCCCCGTTTCTGCTGAGCCCCGTTTCTGTTGAGCCCCGTTTCTGCTGAGCCCCGTTTCTGCTGAGCCCCGTTTCTGCTGAGCCCCGTTTCTGTTGAGCCCCGTTTCTGCTGAGCCCCGTTTCTGCTGAGCCCCGTTTCCGCTGAGTCCCGTTTCCGCTGAGCCCCGTTTCTGCTGAGCCCCGTTTGTGTTGAGCCCCGTTTCTGCCGCACCGGGTGCGGGCCCGCAGTGCGCTCCCCACGCTGGCGGTGCGCGGCCCGCTCGGGCGGGGACAGCGGTGCCACCGCAGCTGGATCAGCGGGATCGCTCCCGAGCCCGCGGAGCGCCCCGCCGGAGCAGCATCCTGGCATTCCCACCGCAGCGCCTGAAACTTGCATTTCCTGCTCCATCTTGCGGCAAACAAGGGTATCTCCTCGTCAGAGCGGGAACTTCGTGCTGAGGAAGAGCGTCAGGATGAGGAGGGTTGAAGCTGGAAGCACTGATGTCCTGAGGGGAAAAAAAAAAAAAAAAAAAAAAAATTCAAGTACCAAGAAGGATGCCTTGAGCCTGGTGAGGTCTCTGTAGGATCTCAGAGTCCAGCGGCTTGATGGAGGTTTTTTAGGGTTTTTTTGAAGTCTTTTTTTTGTTGTTTTTGTTTGGTTTTTTGGTTTTTTTTTTGTTTTTTTTTTTTCATTTTTTTTTTTTTGGTTACTAGTGCAGCTGCGGCTTTCTTGGAGCAAGAGACATTCAGCACCAAGCTACAGCTCCTGCTCCTGTCTGAGCACCCCTCAGGAGCCTCTTTTGGGTGCCCTAGGACTGCTTTTTCTCCTGTCAGAGAGATTTCACTGTCAGCTCTATGGGCAATGCCACAGAAAGCTCTCTCTGCTCACAACTTTCTGCTTGTCCAGGTCTGAGGCTCACCAGACACCAGTGCAGTGGGCTCTGCAGAGGCTGGCAGCTGCCCCAGAGCACATTGCCAAATCCCCACTAGCTCACCTCTACCTGTGACAAGGTGGTTAAGGCAAACAATGATGTAAACAATAACAATAACAATTTCTCCCTCAAAGGAATGCCATGGAGAGCACTAGTGTGATGCTCACATTCTCCAGTATCTCCCATACCTGTAAGTAAGGGAATAGTCAGAGGGACAGCAGAGGTAAGCACAGCACAATGGGGATGTCCTGCGCCAAACTTTCCCTTGTCTTGTCCTTGCTGGACTTGTGCTGCTTTCCTGGGGGTCCCTGACTTGTCCCTCTTGTGGGTCTGAAGGGCCATTTCTACAGTATTTGTTGTATGCCTGGTGAACAGGCTCACCTCACATTTGTGCTGACATCTTTGAAAAATGACTCTGATTCTCTCAGTATACTGTTTCAGTGATTCATTCTTTATGTGCATTTACTCAGCAGACATGAGTGGGGAAATAAGATTTATGCTAAATTTATATGTTAATTTTAATATTGAAGCTATCCTGTATTTGAAGAATAAGATCAATTCTTCAATTTCATTTCTTATGTGATATTGCATATTGTCATTACTGGAAAATAAAATTATTTCTGAATGCATACTATCTAAACTTCAATTTTAGTGGACATTTAACTTTGACTCGTCATTCTTCTCCCTTCCCTATAAAAACTAACTTAATACAATATTTACCATTCTCACACTAGTCTGCCACCAGAAGATAACAAAAACAAGACTTTTTACCCTAAATGATGTTTTGTTAATGTGCTCCCTGCAACATTTCTGCACTGTCACAGATTTCACGTATGACTCAGTGTCGCATGCATGCTACAAGAGGAATCTTGGTTAATGGTTGTGTTCCTCACTAGAGACTGATTTCATTAATTTCCACATTAGCAAATGTGCTTGAGAGCCATGGCCACAGCTACTCACTAAACATTCCTGTACACAGGACAAATCCTAACCTTAAGTGGACAATCCAAGCCTTAGATCACTACCGAATAGTGTGGAGTTTGGATACAGAGAATCACATGTACAGAAAGATCTGGCCTCTACAGAGGGAGATATACTTTAAAGAGGCCTCCTGCCAGAGACCGTGGTCTCCTGAAGCTGCAACAGAAAGAAAATATTTCCAACACCTTAGGAGTGTGGTTTGCTACTTTATCTCTTTGCGAGCTGTGCAGGAGATTAAGCTGAGAGACAGGAGAAACCTTTGCAAGGTTGGTTACATCCTTGCTCTGCCCTACACCCTGAGGAAGAATTTTCCCTCCCTGTGAGATAGAGATAACATTACAAGGATTTAATTGCTTCATCTGAAAATTTGCAAAGAGTTTAAGTGTTATGTAAGAGAGTAGAACACAGTGTTTACCAGTTAATGTACAGTAAGATTCTCGTTCTGATTTTTTCTCTGTGAGAGAGAGAGTCTATAACTTTTCAATGGCTGACCTGTGACTGTCTTCAGCAAGAATTCTTCTGAAAACCTCAGGATTATCCTTAGATAGTCCTGAGGAAACAGCTGTCACAAAATGGCTAAAAGTTGTGAGACCTAAGGGAAACACTGTTTGGGTTCTTTCTTCCTCCTTTCTGAGTTTATGGACTTTATATATTCCAACTTTCTCCTCTGTAACAACTAGATAAAACCAGAAATCTTGTGACAAAATTGTGCTAATCGCCTTTTTTCGCTCCACGCCCGCCCCCCCTCCCCACCCCCCCCCGAGAGTCAGAGAGTACACGAATCACCAAAATGTTGAGGAAAAGTGAGAAAGCAGAATTTGAGACATAATGAAGTCTATTAATTCTTCCAGGGCTTGGTGGCTTAGGGAGGCATGCAGGCTCGGGAGGAGCTGGTCTCGCCCTCCTGTCTCTGGGAAGGTGAGCACAGCCTGGCACTTAGGCCAGCAGCAGGATCTCAGCCTGGGGCTGCAGCCCCGCAGGAGGGGGCACACACAAAAGGAGAGTGGCAGCGACTCATGTGGCAGCAGGGTGACCGTGAAGGTGCTTGTGGTAACTGGTGGAAGCTTTCCTGCTTTGTTCCATGCACAGCAGGAACAGCTCAAACCCAGTTTTGGAAACATCTTTCTTTGCAGCCTAGTCCCTCTGCACATTGCTGGCGTTTCTTCCTGCCATGGTAAGTATAAACTGGGGAGAGAGAGAGAGATAAAATTCACCTTATACAGAAAAACATAAAGGAGACATTGATATACTCAGAAATATTTGTGGGCTACTTGTCAAATCTAGATTTTTTTTTTTTTTTATCACTTTATCACTTGTAAGAGCTAAATGACTCATGTGACAAGGGATACAGAAGCAATCCTCACAGGCCATTGTACCTGAGGGAGAACTGTGGTAAAAATTTAAGTTTCTCTTCCTCTGCATATTAATGTCTTGACTCACTAGGAACAGGTTCCTGAAGGGTGCTTGCATCTGTTCACATTGCACAGCTAGCAACTTTCCTGGGAACCAAAATCAGTTGGCTCTCAGCTTGAACATGCCTTTTTCTCTAGTAAAGTAAAGATAATGCTCAATGTCTGGTATGGCTACATATTCTATGTGTGAAAAAACAACACATTCTCAAGAGAAACATTCCTAAACTACAGAAAATTTTTCTACATGGCTCTATCTTTAATCCAAACCCTCTTCAGCAGACTTTAATACCCTTCATAGGTTTAACTCACAGTTCAGTTACAACATTTCAGACCATATGACTTAGTCACTAGTAAAGCTATGGTCAGCTATGTGTAAATTATGAATTTTCTTCCTTGCTCTTTCTCCTGTAATTTCTTTTTCTCTAATGATCTGCAGAGATACAAACAAAAGGAACATTTGGCCATATGTATTTTTCTTTTTTTATCTCCATTGCCAAATATTCGATTTTCAGGAAAAAAGATGGTATGAGGGAGAGGTTAATTTATTTGTAATTTTTCTCAAAATTTTACAAAACAAAAGTGGTAAGTTTTCTAAGGCTCTAAAGGGAAGAAACCATTAGTTTAACTTGCCCACACATATCTCCTTTGGCAATTCTCAGCTATGTTGGTGAGAGCACACTGCAGGCAACAATCACTACAGCCCTTGCACACAAGTGGGAATTGGGCTGGATTTGGGGTTGCTTTGCAGAACTTTGGAACACATGAGGAGGGAGGGAGGGGGAGGGGAGGAGTGGGAAGGAAAAGATAATTTCTGACCTTCAATAGCATCTGGGGAGTGGGTCTTTCCCAGGCCCAAGACTGAGCTATCAGAGTTTATGCTCACATTGTTGTTGCCTTGAAAAGGGAACAGAGTGATCTATACCAGAACTAGGGGATGAAAGGAGCTGGTCTCCCTGTGCTGTGCTCAAGCCTCCCTCTTCTCCCAGGAAGTTCACTGCATGAGGTTTTATCAGACTTGCGTGGTGTATATATATGAAAAACTATGACCAATTCCCAGGTGAACAGCTTATTTTCTGACTTAGAAAAACT